GGAAACAATGACTTCAACACAAAAGGTGAGAAAAATATCACAGTTACACTGTTATTGAAAAACCTGTTAACATCAGCTTTATCTTTTGCATCCTGGGCTCCTCCATATATACAGAATCTACATTCACAACCAAAAACCACAGAAGTTAGAAGAAAATACAAAGATCATATTTTATAAGCACACATTGAAACAACATTATCATCAGTTGAACTTGCAATTTCTTATGCGTAAAAGATTTTCTCCACTTATAAATATTTCTTCAATAATGTAACTTTCATTACAACTCTCATTGTAGCACATTATTGTAATGTGATACTATGACCAGAAGGTGATGGTAACACACCAACAATGTGTTTGTTGACATGTTTGTTTCCATTGACGGAGGGAGTTTCAGTTTGTTCCACGACTGCATTTCACTCACTGCCTCTGTTTGTATCTCTGTCACTGCAGGACCAACATGGAGCAAGAAGTCAGCACTCTCAGGAGGCCGACAAACCTCACAGAAGAAAGGGAGAGAAAACCTACAGCTGTGATGAGTGTGGGAAGGATTTTACCCAGTCTGGAAATTTAAAAAAACACCAACTCACCCACAGTGGAGTTAAAGCGTACAGCTGTGATTTGTGTGGAAAGTCTTTTACCCAGTCTGGAAGTTTAAAAACTCACCAACTCATCCACAGTGGAGTTAAAGCGTACAGGTGTGATTTGTGTGGAAAGTCTTTTACCGAGGCTGGAACTTTAAAAACTCACCAACTCATCCACAGTGGAGTTAAAGCGTACAGCTGTGATGAGTGTGGGAAGAATTTTACCAGGGCTGGAGGCTTAAAAAGACACCAACTCATCCACAGTGGAGTTAAAGCGTACAGCTGTGACTTGTGTGGAAAGTCTTTTACCTTGGCTCAAAGCCTAAAAACACACCAGCTCATCCACAGTGGAGTTAAGTCATACAGCTGTGACTTGTGTGGAAAGTCTTTTACCCTGGCTCAAAGCCTAAAATCACACAAACTCATCCACAGTGGAGTTAAAGCTTACAGCTGTGACTTGTGTGGAAAGTCTTTTACCGAGGCTGGATGCTTAAAAAAACACCAACTCATCCACAGTGGAGTTAAACCTTACAGCTGTGACTTGTGTGGAAAGTCTTTTACCCAGGCTGGAAGCTTAAAAATACACCAACTCATCCACAGTGGAGTTAAAGCACACACCTGTGACTTGTGTGGAAAGTCTTTTACCCGGGCTGGAGAATTAAAAACACACAGACTCATCCACAGTGAATTTAAAGCGTACAACTGTGACTTGTGTGGAAAGTCTTTTACCCTGGCTCAAAACTTTAAAACACACCAACTCATCCACAGTGGAGTTAAACCATACACCTGCAACTTATGTGGAAAGTCTTTTACCCATCGTAAATGCTTAAAATTACACCATATCATCCACAGTGGAGTTAAAGCACACAGCTGTGAGTTGTGTGGCAAGACGTTTGCTCAAAATAGTGACTTACAGAGGCATCTAGTTACCCACTCTGGAATTAAGGCGTACAGCTGCGACTTTTGTGGAAAAAGTTTCAGCGACAAACAGTACCGAAATATTCACCTACGGTTTCACACTGGAAATGATGTTTCCCGCTGTGATCAGTGCGGGAAACTGTTTGCAACAGATGCACAGTTACAACAACACATGTTTATCCACACTGAGGAGAGACCTTATAAATGTGACATGTGTGAGAAGACTTTTAAATCTCCACATCACCTGAAAAAACACCAAAAGATCCACACCAGAAAGTAACTCTACAAGTGCAGTTACTGTGAGATATGTATATATTTTTTATCTTGTAATTGTAACCTGATTGTTTGGAACAAGTCTGATCAGTAAACTTATGGAGTTATACTGAGTGTTATAATGTAAACAGTAAAATGTAATTGGACGTTGGCAGAGATGCTCTTTGTTTCAGGCGACATTCAGGATAAAAATATTGAAGGAATTTCCTGACTTACTCTGTCTTTGTTTAGAATCAGAGCAACACAGATTGATCCAGTTCTCAACCCTGTCGTCACTGTGGTGGTGGGAAAGCTTCTTTGTGACCTTTGTAGAAAAACTTCCAATCATCAACGGGACCTAAAACCACATCAACGTAGACACACTGAAGACAAAATGAATGACTGCAAAGAATGTGGGAGAGGCTTCCACACACCAAGTACATTAAAATACATGAACTATTCCACAGTGGGGTCAAAAAGCACATCTGTGACCAGTGTGGGTCATCCTTCACCACTGGACATTAGCTCAATGAAAAAGCATAAGGGAATCCACACAGGACAGACACCATACAAGTGCAGACATTGACAAATTTTTTTGCCCTAGACTGAAGTTCATTGTCACTTTGCAGTTTCCACGTCCACTTCATGAGGTAAAGAAAAAGCATCCTTACATCTCAGTACAGGGGTGACCACCTCCAGGCCTCAAGAGTAGGGATGGGTACCGGTATCCGGTACCACATAAACGGTAGTAACCAGACCAAAAGCAGCATACATTTTGGTGCTTTTTTTCCTGAGATGTCATACACTTTGGATTCTAGCCAATCATTTTACGTTTCCCAGGATAGTAGGCGGGCCCAGGTACGTACGGGGGTTTTTTTTAGAGCAGAGCTAAAATGCCTAAGGCGAAGCGGTCAAAAGTCTGGCTGTACTTCACAGCAAAAGATGCAAACTCAGCAACCTGCAACAAGTTCTTTAAGGTGATACTGTGCAAAGAAAGTAACACCTCAAATCCGATGAAACACCTGGCGACACATAGCGTTTTTTTAAAAGCCGAGAAATGCACCGTATTTGATAGCTTGCAGCAAGACCGAGCACATCTACTGCGGGTGTAGTGCCTGTTATTGGACCCGGAGTTAGCAACATCCCCCCAGAACCCGAAGAGGAGAGTCCTGGCCCCTAGCCCTGCCAGTGTAGCAGAAATTATGATGGATGATGATGGCAGCAGCAGCCGTTCTTCTCTGCGTGAGTTGCTTAATGTTGTTCGTGTGTAATTTACGTTGAGTAGGCTAACCACGTTATTACATTAATGCATGTAAGGTGATCTAGCAAACATCGTTGTAGTTACATGCAGCTGTCTTCTTGTTTGATGGCAGATACTCCCTTCACCCTGGCCAAAAAGGCCAAAATGACCAAAGAAAAAGTGGAACACAGTTAAACATGAGAGGTTTTTGGACAAAGTTTGTGTTTTCCCATTGTTTAAGCACTGCTTCCAGCCAAGAGTGATACCATATATGCCCTGTAGCTGCAGAAAAGGCTAACATTGTTATCTTTTTACAAAAAACAGCTAAACATAAAAGGTTTTTGGAAAAAGTTTGTGTCCTCCATTTTTTAAGCACCGGTTCGAGCACTGTTTAAGTACCGGCACGGATTCAAAAGTACCGGTTTTGCACCAGTATCGGATAAAACCTAAACAATACTCATCTGTACACGAGCCAGTGTCTTGTAAGTTTTAGATAACACCCTGGGTCAATACACCTGGTACAGATGATTAGTTCATTGCCAGGCCTCTAGAGAACTTCTAGAAATGCTGATGGGGTAATTCTTCCCAGTTAAGTCAGCTGTGCTGGATCAAGGTCACAAACCTGCAGGAAACCAGCTCTTGGGCCTGGAGTTGGCCATCCCTGTATTTGTGGATACAGTTTCAGCAACAATAGAAAGACATGGATTTGTGATTAACTTGACAATGTCCTGCATGATAAGCATTTCCTGGAAACATGTCAAATTCTGCAACTTTTAAATTCACTGTAGATTTCCTCGCCTCTAGTGTGCCCTTTAATGGGAAAAGTATGAGAAACAAGTCTTCAAAAACCTTTTGTAGCGCTTATATGATCAGCAGCTCAGAATAACCTGTCGAACCTGAAGCGGTATAATATGTTCAGACTGACAGACGGGGTCATAGCTGCAGTGATGCAAACGTTGCACCGATCTGTTGTCATGAAGAGAGAATTGAACGTAAAAGTGAAGCCGTCGATTTACTGGTCAAGCAACGTCACTACCCTCATCTGTGGTTTTGGCTAGTGACCAAAGACTGAGGTCATGGATACATGTGGTGGTAATGAGCTTCCTCTGAAGGGTCAAATAAACAATCAAACTTCCCCCCTTTGAGCTAGCAATTTGGCAACAGGTGGAAGAAAAAACGCCCTTTTAACAGAAAGAATCCTCCAGGAGAACCAGGCTCAGGGAGGGGCGGCCATCTGCCGTGACATGTTGGAGTTAGAGAAGGAAACAGCACAAAGACATGCTGTGGAAGAGAGCCAGAGAATGATTTAATGCAGAGAGGTCTATTAACATATAGTGAGGGAAAAAGGTGACTGAAGAAGAAATTCTCAATGCAGCATAACTAAGGGAGGATTCAGAATCACTTGATCCAGCCCTAACTATACGCTTTAGCAAAAAGGAAAGTTTTAAGCCTATTCTTCAAAAGTAGAGATAGCGTCTGTCTCCGAAATCCAAATTGGGAGTTTGTTCCATAGAAGAGGGGCCTGAAAACTAAAGGCTCTGCCTCCAACTGTACTTCTAAATACTCTAGGAACAACAAGTCTAAGAGCTCTAATGGTGGAATTATTGAACACCTTTCAGTAGTGATGTGACGTTCTGTATCGAGGCTTCGAAGCTTGTGTCGAGTAATGGAGGGGGCGTTTCC